CATGTCATTGATTATGAAGATAAAGATCCACCATATGGCCTCTTAGAGTGATGAGGGACTGGGCTGCCTGAGAGCATTCGTTTCTTAGCCCTGAGCACAACGGAGGAGTCGACCAGCGCTGCACACATTTTACGATTCCTCCACTCCCCCCACCTCCTCCCACAACCCAGCGTCAACTGCAGCGGAACCAATATTTGGGGCCGAGTCAACCTTTGGGGATGCCCTATCCGGGTTACAAAGGTTGCAATTGAACCTTTGTCGCAGTATAAAGGAGCAGCAGGGCGCTATGCCACCCGCTTACTTCTACAAAAGAAGGTTCAGTGTGCGTGAGTAAGTTACTTGCGTGTGTATCGCGTCACGCGTACGTGACCAAATATTGGCGTGCACCCAGAGAGGTCTATGGCATTTGAGCACAAAGACGTCTGGCCCCAGTGCGCGACATGTGTGGTGGGATTCAATCTCGGGGCCCCCGGGGCTTCACAGAGCAGACACTCAAGGCGTGCATTTGCGTGTGGTGGAGGGAGGGTTTAATGAAGCATCGATTCGTCAATAAATATCAATTGTTAATCTCAAGATGCTTTGCGTAGAGTTACGTGTTTAAGAATGTCTGCTTTCCCGGTCCGTGTGTGTTGTGTGCGATGCGTTTTTGTGCCCCCCCCCCCCCCCCCGAGCCGCCACATGCTGTTACTTTCTGCGCAATCAAAAATATATTTTTCAGCAATTCATTCAATAATGAGGAGGGAAAATGCTGTATGTGTTGTTTATGCCTGCCAGTGATTAGTGTAGTGGTTAGCGCACTGCACTACAAACCTGGCAAACCCAGTTAGATTCTCCCTTAAGACCAATATCAGGCAGCGAATATTTGAGCGGAGGCCTCCCTTTCGTCGACTCAGCCTTATAAACATCAGCATGAGGGAGACAGAGACGGCCGGGCATGGTGTTAGCCACCTATCCCCTCGTGTGCTGTGCCGGCCTTTATAGCTGATCGTGAACAGCACTCGCCCAAATAGTCTGTGAAGGCTATAGTGAGGATGTTTGTCAATAATTAATATAACTACTCGGCAATATTACCAAGCTCTACAGGACAGACACATTGGCCTTTGTTCCTTTATGAAGAACAGATGGATTTTGAGCATCGAAAAATTTAATGTTTATACAAACTAAAATTGGGTTCAGTCTGCCACGTATGTGCATGCATAGCATTGCCTCACAAATTTTGATTTCGTTATTAAAAGTTGTCCTTTAATTCGCATTTAGTATAAAACAAAACATTAATGCAAGTGACTCACACCCTGTGCATACTTGGAAACACTGAGAAACATTTAGTATCTTGTTTTTTAAATTACTGTAGTCGTGCATTTGTTTTACTTGTTTGATTGATGGGGTGTTCTGTGGTGCTTGATTACATGTTCCACTATATGGATGCATATATGTAGAGAGTACCACGATGCTAAAGCTCTGTTAATCGACAAACATTAATTTATTTTAATGTCAGCTTGTCTTGGGTGTGGTCATTAACCACCAACATGTCGTATGTGTCACAAACTCATCATGTAATAATGGCGATACTGGACCGATGACTTCTAATTATGATGAAACCTGTATCCACTTGTTTTATTTTTCTAGTGGTGTCTAAATTAAACACATCAGCCTCGCCTGTCTTCCCCTGGTGACTATCGCGAGAATAGGCACAAGATTGGTGATGTCATCTTGCAATGCTTGCTGGGAATGATATTATGTGCTCCTGTTGAATACACTTTTTGCATGTGTATTATCAATATTGGGTTATGGCATCAAATAATTGTTGTTGTCTTTGCGGGACAACTCTATATAAAATGAAACATAATCTTCACATTTTCTCACGTTAATTCTGTTCAAAAGTAATGTTTTTAAAAGTTATAATCATTTAATTTATGAGACGTTTTTCTTGATAATGATGACAGTGGTTTTTCCAGTTTGTCCCTTTATTTACTTCGAGGCAGTCTTGATGCATTTGTTGTCGTTCGTCAGCATCGTCAGCCTTCACAGATCAATCAGGTTTTACCTCTTATCGTCGGATGTGATCGTCACTCATAAATCATCATCGTCGTCGTAAATCACGGCCTGCATTATTGAAATTGCCTGAAGGCACAGAGAGAGGCCCTAGGTGGTGGCGAGACAGATGGAGCAGATGAGCAGATGGAGGTTGAGGCTTGGATATTGTTGCATGTCTGCGTGGTCATGGGGGGCGGCGGGGGGGGGGGTTTAGGCGAGACTCACGGAGTCTTGTGACATATGACGTCACTGCTGTTTGGCAATAACAATAGCACACCATGTGTTGGCTTCGGAAGAAGGTGCATCTATCAGACACGTGTCACTCGCATGTGTCGCTCTGGTTGCCTGCCACCTCTTGAGGTGAAAGAAAGAACGGGTCACATCGTGGAGCGAACAATATCTCACGCGACCGACTGGAGGAGTAGAGAACTACATTTGAACGCATTGCCACGAGCGGCGTATCGTTACACAACTGACACAAACCTAAACTTTTAATGTCCCGGGGACAACTTATGGATTTCGCGGGATGGCTACCCACAAAAAATGTTTGACGATCCTGGGAAAACCAGGACAGGTGGCAACCCTATTCATAGGCGATCTCAGAAATGCTGCGTGAGAGTGCTGGGAACATGACACTTGAACACGATTGGAAGGCAGCCTGAAGCACGCTGGCAGTGTTATTCGGGCAATGATCTTGTTCAGGTATTTATTGTTGAACATATTTGGGTTTGGTGATTAGACCTCATTTTGGATTGTCTAGCATGTACCACGGCTTGGAGAACATTTGAGTCCCATTTTTTAGATGCATTTAATGATTATAATAATCTACAGTCTACTGTGGGTTTCAAGGCCACTCCATACAATGTCATAGATGGGGGGAGATTTTGACCATACTTAACCATATCACTCCTATGGGGGTTTGTGAAGGATGAGCCCCCCCCTATTTTTATCAGACCGTAGTTTTTAATGTTATTTGAAATCCCATGGTGTGTAAGGAAACATGAGCGCTGAAATACACGTGCTCAAGTTTGAATGGTCATATTTGACATAAACGCCATCACTCTTGCCATCTGTTGAGATTGATGCAGTTGCTTTGTCGGATAGTGTTTCAATCTCTCCCTCTCGGCGATGTCATTTGCACGACATGTACAATGAGGGGGGTGTGTTTCGCCGCTGTCGGGAGCTTTGGCTGCACGTCACGTATGCACTGATCGAAGCACCACGGCACAGACAGTTCCTGACCGTGAGTCGCTTGGGAAAGTACTACCTAGGTTTTCGCGGTTGTGTCGTACGGCGCTCTGGTGATTCGGGTATTAATGAAACCGTGTTGTGAGATTAATTTACTTGGTGCTCACCTGAAGTTGCTGTGGTGAGGGCTTGTAATTATAATAAAACAATAAATCCCCTTCCCCATAAAAATACCATGTTCTCCTGATCGTTGTCCTTACATTAGTAGGGTAGGGAGCCCACATTTCTCCCTTTCTCTTGCCCTGGGAGCACCAGGCCTCGGGCTTTCTTTCGTGGAATAAACGAAACAATTTGTATTTTATTTTACCATTTAAGGCCCACTGAGCTATGGAGCTCTTTTCCAGAAGCTGTCACAAATGATAGCTCAACGAAATGGCTTATCACGCGGAAATGTATCGCAGCCAAATGCTCTTAAACGCATAAATATCTGTGCACCCCTCCCTTTTATTTTTATCGCTAGCGCTCTGTATCAGGCTTTTGTAAAAAAAAAGAATTTATTTCAGCGCTAAAAACGCGGCGGCCCAATTTCGGTTCACCCCCTCCCTGACCCCCCATTTTTATCGACAACCTGTCCTGACCAGTGTGGTGAAGTATAGTCAAGCAACGCTATAACCAGCACAGTTTGGGGGGGAAGCTTTCATCCAGCAGTGGCTTGACAAAGGGTTGTATTTTTATTTTATTCTCAGGCTTTCACAACCAAACATCATAAGATTCGTAATTGGTTTCTTTTGGGTCAGATCGTTTAGGTATAAAGTCAGAGGTGTAACCCTCCACCATCTGACAAAGCCACATAAATCAAGTTATGTGGGAAAGTCTACCAATTCGTGATCATTTTTTGCAAAACCGGTTATGTTGAAAATATTTTATACATATTCAATTACTTGCTTCTTTAACACGCCGTTTTGCTTAAAAACAGAATCAAATAGCGCATTTGACCACTTGACAACTTTATTTGTTGTTGGGTAATGGAGGAGTGTAGCTCTAATAAACTTCATAAAGTACTTAAACAATCTATGTTATTTTAACTGTATATTGTACTGCTCGATTGCATAATTATGCTTAATGTTATGCAACATTTAAGGACTTGATTTCCTGTTTTGTAAATGGTGTCCCCTGCATAAGGTATAGATAGGGCTGTTTCTGATCTTTTATCATATGCGGTTGTGTATTGTTTTTGCGACCCGCATCTCCCTTGAAAGAGAGACCTTTTTAGTGTCGTTGGGAGCTCATGTACAGCAACGTGTTCATCCACTGCTGGATGAGGGCCTCCCAATGCCGTGCGGATCATGGGAGTTATTTTGACCATACTTCGCCATGCTGGTCAATTCCACGGGGAGGGGGGAGGGAGTTGGTGAATGTGGGGGCAGCGTAAACGTGTGGAGCATAGTTACAGAAACGACTTTTGCTGCACTTTCCTCTGCTGCCCACAGCGTAGCTTCTCCGCAGCAGCAGCAGCAGCAGAAGCAGCAGAAGCAGCAGAAGCAGCAGAAGCAGCAACTAGTCGCGCCCCGCTGCTGCTGCTGCGTGCCTGCCGATATACCTATCCAAGCGCTATTCAGGTTTAACCGCACTTAGCTTCCGAGTTTTGATGCGATCAGAGGCCGCCGCCACGCCGGGTGATTTTTTTTTTAAATCATCGACTAAGTGGGCTATCAACTGACTCAAAATGAAAGATTTTGTGAGATTGAAAGATCGGTTGGCGTTCTCTTTTTTTCCAGGACCCTCCAACGTCCGTGTCGTTAGGCCTGAGAATGGAGGAGATGATTTTCAACCTCGCCGACACGCACTTATTCTTCAACGACTTAGAGGTGAGTCCGCGCGTGTGTTACGCCCTTGTGGAAAATCCACAGATAACCTTTTAAGATGTGTATCTGTTTGTTTTTCTTTCATATTTAATTTATTTTCAGTGGCCTGAAAGCATTCCTCAGCGGATTATGAATCCAGAAGATGGGTCCATATGTCCTGAAAAAAAAACCACTGCTGCTCAATTAAGTTTGCGGACTACAATAACGTGGCTTGTTGAAAGTCTTTTTGATGATCGATCAAAGTCACTGTGATTTCCCAGCTCAACTGAGCATTGAGGTTGTTATTCATCTCCTGTTTACAGAGTCTGTGGTGGAAATTCCTGATTCCTATGGTGGGGGCGAATTTATACATAGAACGACCAATGTTTACTTGCCAACAAATTGGTGGTAGTGGTCACTAAAAGGCAGGGTCGGTGGGGGTGACGACTCCTGGGTCGGTTGCAATAGTGTCGTTCATAATGAATTGCAACCGCAATGTAAATTGCAATTTCACCTTATTTCAAGGTCACGATGAAATGCAGGGATTTTGTTATTTTGCGGGGAATTTAGCGGCAGCCTCTAGCGGCTGGAGGGGTCACTAGAACCCATTACATGCAACACATACGTATCAAGAAACGTGGGTTCTTATAAACGCAATTCAAGGTATGCAATCTAGCCTGTATTATTATCGATGGGAACTGATGCCGATTCACACCCCCACTGGTCCAAATTATACATTACCTGGATGTATTTTTGGTACTTGTATTTAACATTAAAATAATAACTTTGGGTTGTTTTTCTACAGCCAAAGGTTTTGGTAAATTTCTGCAGAAATAAGTAAACATTTTTACGTTTTATTTAAATCTCACATAAAATATTCATGCAAGTCCAAGATGCTTTAAACTCCTTTTGACAAAGCCATTGTGTCATACTCTTCAGGTGTGCTTTGTTAGGAGTGTTTTTGCACCCTGCTAACCATCATCTTATAATGTTACAGTTTAAAACTAGCTTATTGAACAATGTGGAGTGGTTCCACAGTGATTTGTGCACTGTGTTATAAACCTGGGCCATGGCGAATATCAGTGGTGAGTAATGTCTAAATTAGTCTTTTCCCAGCCCTTTACCAACCCACATTGACCAGCATGGTAAAGTATATTCAAGCAACCTCTCCGATTGACGTGGTGTTGGGAGGCCTTATTCCAGAAGTGGATTGATAGTGGCTGTAAATTAGTATTATTATAATTTAAAATAAATAATATTAATGGGGGCGCTTCAAAGGTCAAATAAAAATTCTGTGGAACAGTGACTGAACAGTCAATGAGCTTACTGAGACGTTATTAGACATACTGGTCTTAATTTTCTTATGGACTTTTTTTTTACATCAGCATTTAAGTAGAATTGGATTGGTGGAATGGTGGCACAGCGTTTGGTGCGCTGCACTATGTACACGATGACCCGAGTTCGATTCACAGCCACAGCCGACATCAGTGGCAGGGTGTTATTTGAACCAGTCCAGGCCCTTCGCCCCCACCAAACACCCTCTGCCAACCCACGTGGCCAGCATGGTGATGTATGGTCGGACAACCCCCAAGTACAGGCAGCATGTTACAAAAAAAGTTTATTTTATACGGTTGATTGATAAGGGAGAGTAGGTAACCTTGTATACAATGCTATAATGCGCTCTAGGTTTAGTGGCTATAATGCGCACAAGAGATTTGGGTGGACTTAATCCTAACAAAAGGATCATTCTGCTTAAGATTAAATGAAACCGATCATTGTTACTAACGTACGCCTTATATTTGTATGCTCTTTATAATGTTGTTAGCTTAGTCTTGCAGCTTCAGCCAAACATGTGACAAATATGACTGCAAGTGCAATCTACGAGCTTACTGCATGGTATGTAAATAATATCTATTTTTTGTATGTCGAACATATATGTTCACATGTTATCTTATTTATATTTATCGAGTGCCTCAGCTCAAGGCGTTGTACAAAGCGGTAACAAAATCCGAGTGCTTTAGATGGCAAGCGGCGTGCAAAGGGCTAAGGAACGAGCGACCGTAACAGAGGGCACGTGGTGGGGGTCACGAAAGGGCTGCAGGGGAGGGATGGGATGGAGTGGAGGGGCGAGGGGAGGGAAGAGGAAGGGAAATGGGGCAATGGAGAAGCGTTTGCTTCCTTTGTTTTGTAACCCATTAAGTATAATACAGTCTATGGCTAATGCATACTAGATTTGTCAAATGCTACCACAGTCGACAACGATGAGACAGCCGCACTGGTGGTTGAAGGCCTTTTCCAGCACCTGCCATCTCTCATGATATCGCAATGCAACAAACCATCTAGCTCCTGCGCACCAGCTGATGTCATCACTCCATCACCAGTGGACGACACATCGGAAGTGTCCCCTCCTCCTGTGGCTGTCACTGCATCATTAGTCTCAACCACCGGTCATCATCCCGTGTAGCGACGTTTCGCCAAAGCATACTTACTATTATTTACAGTCAACATTATTATTGTTGACAGTCAATATAGGCACTGTGGTGACAAGATTTTAATTCTCTCACCTAGTGTGAAAGAGGTCTTGAGTTCGATCCCGACCTTGATGCCTGTATACTTGCAGTTTGCATGTTCTCCCCGTGGTCGTGTGAATTTTTCTCTGGGTCCTCTGGTTTCTCCCTCCACATTTAGAAGCATGTGGTTAAAGTATTAGGCTGCTATACATTTCCACATGTTAAGCCGTTTTGTTGAGCTATCATTTGTGGCCAGGTCACTTCTTACAAAGAGCTATACAGCTCGGTGAGCCTTACCTGATCAAATAAAAAGTTTACTTTTTTTGTATGTATGTTGCACTTCTATTGCACCGTACGTATCCAACCGTGCTAATCGGAGGTGTAAATCCAAGCTAGCTTCTTGTGCACTTACCAGCTTTTGTTCTGTTTTCTTTGTCATTGTCCATTTCTTTTTTCCATGTGTCCATAGCAGGGTCAAAAAGCCCTGCCTAATGCTACCATACTGACTTAAACCGCTGTTTGCTGCAACAAAATGTAAATTTGAGTAACCCTTAAGCAATGCATGTAATATTCACCCCATCCCTACCATTGTATGAATTGTGACAATTTTGGATTGTGATTTGATTCATTGTCTTTTTACCGTCTTGTTTGCTTCATTAACCAAAACGGAACATTCATAAATCATGTATATTTCATGCTTGCACGTGTGATTTATAGTACGTATTGTGACCGGAAGAATTGATCTTAATCGGTGAATTGATGAATCCCTTACATGCCTGCTTTTTTTAGACCTCAACTGTCCCCTTCTCGTAAACGTTTCGTGTGTATGAGAGTCAAATCATAGTGAAACTGCAAGGCTGACACTCAGTGTCCAGCACGTCACATCACATTGTGTATGTGCCGTGGGTTATTTGTGGTTTTATCGAAAGCCTTGTCCAAATGGGCAGTCACCGTAAGGGCCGAGGATCACACCCTATTAACATTACTCCTCTTTTTGCTTTTAAAAACAAATGAAAGTTCACATTCAGGATGACGCCATTTCGCGACAACAATTTGGTTATACTTCCTTCGAACTGTTATGAATAATTGCAAAAACAGCCAGAAAATTAATTGATAATTATGTCCAGCCCTTTGTTTATCGACTGCTGGATGAAGGGTTTTGTTTCCAAGCTTGTGTCGGTTCATGGGGTGTGGTTGACCATACTTTACCACGCTGGTCATTGCAGTTCGGTGAAAGTGGGGAGCAGCAACACTTCACCACGGGGAACATAGAATGTGTTGCACTACCTCTGGTGACTGCCACGTAACAGAGCCCCCGCTGCTGCCCATGACAACTTGCCGTGCATAGTGGTCACCCTCCCAAGTGCCGTCCAGGCTCAAACCTGCTTAGGCTTCCAGGATCTCACGAGGTCAAGCGTATTCTGAGTGGTTTGGTTTGAGCTATATATAAACACACACACACACAGAACCTTGAATAACTTAAATGTATTTGGTTCTCAGGTTTCTGTTTATCTTTTATAAATATGACCGTCGTGAAAGCTTATTGTGTAATAGTTCTTTTATGATGCTTACCTTGCGTGCGTTCTTGGTAACCACACACAATGGGAGAGGTTCACTGACCTAAAAAAAACATGTTAAAAGCCACTCACGCTTTTAAATGTATTTGCAGAACCTAACCTTTAAGTCCAGCAACCGTCGCAGAATCTGATATTACAAATCCCTGCAGCAGGAATGTTTAAATTGGTATTAGATTGTCATTTACAATTCAGATTTGTAATTCATCGCCAAAGAGCGCTCACATTTGTTTCATTAAACCGACGTGAATGTGGCACATTGCTCAGGAAATCCAAATAAAATTGAGCCAATGTTTTCCACTCTCGCCGTGGAGATTGCCGCGACTCGATGATTGATGCAGAAGACTTAAACACTGCCATGCGGGCCGCCCCCACCGCTCCACCAAAAGACACGCGGAATTGATTACGTCTGAGCGTGGCGGCCACTTCGGCGGGCCGGCGGTGCTCCCCCTGCGGACGCCGCGCTCGGTGGAGCCCGATTGAGACGCCGCTTATCGTTGCGGCTGGCGCGGAGCCAGCGCGGTGACGTAGCACGACAGCCTTCGCCGCGTCCCCCCTGCCCCCCCCTGCCCCCCCCTGCCCCCCCCTGCCCCCTGCAGTTCATTAATCAAAATGTCCATTTCCATTACGCTTCTTCTCAGAGGCACCGGGTCCACGGTTTCCACGCGTTGCAGTCGTGGAACTCGCAGAGCGGAGTGGAATTCTTGTCCATTGCATGTTGAGCCATGAGAGGTGTTTTACACTTGGTTGTTAAATATTTGTAAAGTTAAATTTTTTTTTAAAAACAATTCCTTCCAAGCACCGTTTGATATTACGCCTTTTTTTAAATATGTAGTCTTATTTTCGAGGGCGCAAGCACCATGTAAAAGGCTCATAAAGGTGTGGATTATACGAAAATATTGCCTTTATGAACATAAGTGAGTTAACACTGATACTTTTA